CAGATGAAATCTACACCAATATTCTTTTGATGCAGCTGGATCAGAAATATTTTTCTGTGATAAGCCCAAGGCCAATTAATGAGGCTTGAAGGAAAGTAGAACAGATGGTAAGCTTCAAAGTAGGCTTAAATCTACACACCTCTCTTTGCTAGAATAAGAAATGTTTGTCAGAGGATAAAGAGTAAACCACTTCAAAATGGAAACTAAATTTATTTTTACTTAGGGCAAACTATTCTAAAAGATTTTACCAACTATTTTAAAAGATTTTACTAACTATTTTAAAAGATTTTACTAAGCAGCAATGTTTGAATGATTAGCTACATATATAGGGGACTTACCTAATGTAATACATTCCATACAGACTGTGGGATTATACTGGCTCTCAGTTTTAGATCATCCATAATTTCTACCCTAAGCACTGGCTAAGATGCACTGTGAAGTAAATAGAGAAAATAAAACTCCAGGTAAGAAAACACAACTCTAATAATTCCAAAGCAGAACTGAAGGTAAAAAGTAGGATATGGTGTCATATTGTAAATGTGGTGATACTAGCATCTATATAGGAAACATTATGATTAATTACTATAAATGGGGTAGATCTCAAGAGTAGATGGAGGCTGCATTCAGATTCAAAATGGGCAAACGGGATTTGGATTTAAAAGAGAACCTTGTTCTCATTGTTAGCCCTCCTTATAAGACCTTTTTCTGAGATATAGTGATATAGTAGCATGACCCAAGAAAGTAGACATTTAAATTAAAGGAGTGCAAGGAGAACATGTCAGAACAACAAAATATGGCCACCACGTCCAATATGAACTGCTGCCAGGATGTTGTAAAGATATAAATGAAATGGCTGAACTGAGTCCCAGTAAGACAGTGTGTTTTTTATCCTCAAATTAGCAGTCTCTATGTACTCTGCATTCTGGACAGAGTTGTACTTCTAAAAAGAAGTCCAAGATTGGCTCTCCTAGTTTAATGTTTCCTGCTACAGAAGCAAATAGGAACCATTGCTATGAAGATTTTGCCAAGTTTTAATTGATGCACCAATAGCAACATTTTTTTTAGTGGAAGTCACTGCCTTTATTATTTTGAAGCTAGACTACTGTAACATGTTATATTTGGAGCTGCCCTTGAAGACTACCTGAGAACTTCATTTGATTAAAAATGCACTTACTCATATCCTGATGGGTGAGGACTGCTATAAAAATATTATTGGAACTATACTTTTATTTTCAGTGAAATTCAATCAACATGGCTTTGGTTCAGGATACGTATAAAATCATCTCTTCCATAGAGAATCTTGCCATTGCATTCAATTAATCATACATTTTCCCACTTGATAAACTGAGAAGGGGGTGAACTCAAAAGGAGGTCTTTTCAAGGTTACCCCACCACTGTAGAATATTTTTCTACAGTCCTACCTTTTCATTGAACAATGAAATTTTGGATCTTTTGAGGGACTATTTGGAACATTGGAGTTGCAATGAATTATATATACAGTCATTCTTTCTTTATATTTATTTTATGATGGTGCAGCTTTTTAATCAGTTTTATTTGGATGTTACAGGACCAGAATTTCTAGAGGTAGGTAGAATTTTGATGCTGGCAAATAAATCAACAAACTACTGAATGAATAATCAATGGCTATAATGTCTCAATTTTGTAAAAAGCATAAAACATCTAGGATTGTTTTTCTCAGATTTTGTAACAATGTTCTGCATAATCTAAAAAATAAAATATAAATACTTGGCCCTCTTGATGGAATGGAAACTGTTTTATATTAAAGGTTTATCTTTTAGAAATCAGAAAGAGTAGCCATAAAAGGTAACATCATTCATAGTCTAGAAGACTGCATTTGTTGTGATTAATTCATTCGCCCTGAAGTTTACAAGCTCTGAAAGTTGAAATGTTATATATCTATAAGTCACGACAAGCAGTGAAACTCAAAGAGATTTGATGACCAAGGCATATGTGATGAAAAAGGGGGAAAATGATTCTATTGCCAATTGCTACATCAATCTAATATACAACATAGATATATAAACAGCCTGTTTTGATAAAGATGTTATTTATTACCTATACCATATGTTGTATTGTTTTTAGAGTTGCTGTGATTTAAAAACTCCCTGGAGGGCTACACTACTTTCAAAGACAAGTAAGCGAGCATGTTGTCCAAAATAATTATCTGTGTCCACTAGTTTACTTCGAGCTATTGTTGCTCTGTGCCAGGAAATCTGTGCATTTTCTATGTGGAGACAGTGTCTAATTTATATCTGAAGAGAGGTAAGCTTTTAATAATATTTACAGGGACTACATAGAATGAAAATTTACTTATCAAAGAAGCTGTATTTAGTCTTTTGTTATACCCACTAAACACACACTCTTTGTGTGAGATTTCTTAATCTTTGTTTAACCAATTGATTCTTCTAGAAATTATTATGAATATATATGTTCATTTTATTTTTAATTGGAGTTATAGCTTGCTTTCATTCAGGAACTCAAGGCAGCATAGTTACTCCTCCCTCTTATTTTTCTGCACGACATTATCCTGTGAGGTTGATTAGGGCTGAAAGTATGGCTAGCCTCAAGTTATCTAGTCAACTTCCATGGCCAAGAGTAGATTAGAAATAGAAAATACTGTTTATAGTCAGTGGCCCTAGGTAGATTAGAACATGAGTCTTCTTGCCAAAAATAATCCAACACTTTAATCATTATGCCATATTAGTTCCTCACAAAGGAAGGAAGGAAGGAAGGAAGGAAGGAAGGAAGGAAGGAAGGAAG